CCAACAAGAACAACAGAAACAGAACAGCGGACGCACAGCAGCCGGGCTGACTGGTCCCCAAAGGCAGCCCTGCCCGGCACCTCCCAGGAGGCAGCCATCTGAGGCAAGGCGTGCCCATGGCCCTGGCCTCTGGGTCCCAGGACTAGAACCTTGGCTTGTCACGTACTGGCCGTGTGACTTTGGGCAAGTCCTTTAATCTCTCTTGCTTTGGTTTGTTTTCAGTTGTCAAATGGGGTTAATAACACTACCTATTCCACAGGGCTGCTGCAAGGATTCAATGAGGTGATGCATGAAAGAGCCCGGAAAGCACTAACTGAAAGCTCTTAGGACATCTTAGCTATTGTTACCTGATTTTGCAAAAAAGGAAACAGGCTGAGCGGTACCCCAGGAAGTCAAAAGACTCTTTGTAACTAGGATGGGCTCAAGAAAGACATGGGCGGTGGTGGGGCCTCCCACTCTCCCTGTCTTGCAGGCTCCCTCAGTGTCTGGGACGCTATGCCTGGAGCAGCTATGCTGCCCGAGACAGCCAGCCTGACCCCAGGTGCCAACTTCGGTCAATCTGCTCTGCTCCAGGCCCTTCTGCCTCCTGTGGGTGCCCCTCCTCATCTCCTCTGCAGGGGAAGCCTGTGACCAGCTCTGCCTGGGTCCCCATCTTCCTACACCCTCCTCCTGCCGTGCCCTAAGCCTTACAGATCTGTCTTCTGTCTTTGAAAAGTGAACTGGCTTACATGGTACAGAAAACTGAAACGTGCAAATCTTCATAGAAGTTTTGCAGATCGCATAAACAGCAAGAATATAAAATAACAATAGGAATAATCTTTTAAAATATCTCTTTCGCCTACTTTGAACCAGCTTGTTGAAAATGAAAAACTCTTTCAAGTATAGGCATATGTCCCTGAGCTGCACTTCCTTCTTTCAAAACCAGCCAGCATATGTTTAAAAATCTGATTCCCAATGAATCACCTGAGTTCATATTTTCCTGTTTTCCAGAACAGCTGTGAAAACTTCATTAATAATCTCAGTGTTTACTGGACATTTACTAAGCACCAGACACATGATCTCATTTAATCATTGCAAAAATTCAATGACAAGGAACTGTGGTCCCCATTTACAGATGAAAAACTGGAGGCTTAGAGGAGTTAGGGCCACAGGGTAGGAAAAGTGAGGACTCGGCCTGTCAGACTCTGCAGCCCTTGCTCCTCGCCCCCAGGTACTACTGCCTTCCTGTGTTTGGGGCTGACTGGGAAGACCCCGGGGGAAACTCCCTCAGTGATGCTGTGGAAGGAACGCTGTGTTTATCCCACAGCTCTCTGGTGAGCTCCTGCTCTGTGTGGGCCCGGTACTTCTGTAAAGGGGCTGGAGTCTCTGCCCTCAAGGGGAGGCACGCACACACATGGGAAGCTGAAATGAGGTGGCGGCATGGGGTTGATCGAGGTCAAGGATCTCAGACTCAAGTGTCTATGTGCACTGAGCGGATGGGTACCAGGCAGAGGACGTAGGGAAGGCGAGCTTGTGACCACTTCCAGCGGGCGTGTCCTTCAAAGAGCCGAGGGATGGCTCAGCTCCTGTAAATTGTCAGCAGGAGGAGGTGCCTGCTCAGTGTTACCCAGTTCTCTGACTTTTTTCCTTTTAAAAACAGATTCTGGAAATTCAATTTATGTGGAATTTCCCACTTTAAAAAAGCAGCATGTGGGCCAAGCACAGCCCTTGAAATCCTGGTGTCCTGTGGGCTGCCAGTGTGTGACCTCTGGCTGAATTCAAAGCCTCTTCCAACTCTAAGCTGCAAGTTTAGGAAAAGCCTCAGGCCCTTGTGATTCTTCTGCCATGACGTTTGCCTAAGTACTGATTATGTTCAGTGAGAAGGGTTTGTAGCGTGAATACAATTCAGCTCAGTTCACGAAACCAGTGGGCCGAAAATGGAGGAGAATGGATAAAATAAATAGAAACATCCAAGTGTACCACATAAACAAATTTATGAGGAGTGTGTCACATGTATTTATTTCTCTTTATTTAGAATTTTTGAGGTTGCTTATTGAATAGGTGCATATGTATTCAGAAAGTACAAACAGGTAGGCGCTGAAAAGTTGTCCTCCCACCTGTATCCCATCGTCACCCAATTCCGTAGACAATAATGTTGTGCATGTTCTTCCAGAGATACAAGAAAATTGTATGTATATTTAATGCATATTTTTTTGCTCTTTGTACACAAATGATAGAATATGTACCTTCCTCTGTTTTGCTTTTCTCCCCATTAATAATATATCTAGGAAAACTTACCAGCGTGCATCAAGCTGCCTCATTCTTTTTAATGGCTATGGAATGAGATACCATACTTGATATAACTGGTCTCCCAACGATAGACATTTGTGTTGTTTCCAATCTTTCATTACATAAAAAGTTGCTTTCCCTGAATAATCCTGGACATACGCCATTTTGCACATGCAAATTCCTAGTAGTGTGGAAATGCTAGGTAAAAAGATGTGCACATTTATAATTTGGATACTGTTGTCACATTGCCCTTCAGAGGGGTTTTAAATCTGTCCTCCTGGCAATGCAGACCACCTGTTCCCCCAATTGTTTCCCCAATTAGTTCCCCACATGTTGCAGTGGACCCTTGAACAACACACATTTGAACTGCCCAGGCCCGCTTACATGTGGGCTTTTTCCAGTTAATATATTAGAAAAAATTTTGGAGAATTGTAACAGTTTGAAAAAACTTGCAGATGAACCATGTAGCCTAGAGACATTGAAAAAATTGAGCAAAAGTGAAGTATGTCATGAATGCATAAAGTAGATGTAGATATTAGTCTATCGTTACATGGGCTTAAGGTGAGTGATATAGAATATAAAATTAATAATGTGTTCATTTTCTTACTGTGTTGTAACTTTGCTCTCAGAGAGTTACGTTACCACACAGTATGCCTCTCTCGCCTGTACTGAAGAAACTGCATATCAGACTATCATCATACGTACATGGGTTTTAAAAAAATGTAACGATGTTTCCAACACTATGTTATGACTATGGTTGTAACACTCTATGCCATAAAAATTTCATAACAATTCATTCATTACTGTCTAGGCCAGGCTACTGTGAAGCAATTGTATCAATTACACCAGGTGACCATAAAGCAATCTTATTGTCATTTCGTTATCAACATGTGGATCATTATATCTGTAAATAGATATGAATTTCTTTTTCACATTATCTTTTCATTTTTGATGTCAAGTGTCAGTAATACATGTAACATCTACAGTGTTTTATAGCATGTAAGGCAATATTACTGTAGGTACCAGCAGACAATTCATCTTCTAAACTGATGACATAAACTTCTGGAATTAGTAAATAGAGGATAGTGCTATAAATGTATTTCCTCTTCCTTATGATTTTCTTAGTAATATTTTCTTTTCTCTAGCTTACTTAATTGCAAGAATACAGTATATAGTACATTTAACATATAAAATGTGTGTTAATCGACTTTATGCTATATGTGAGCTTCTGGTCAACAGCAGGGTATTGGCAGTTAGGTTTGTGAGGAGTTGAAAGTTATATATGGATTCCTGACTGCACTGGGGGGCAGCGCCCCTAACCCCTGCGTTCTTCAAGGGTCAACTCTACGTTACCAAGGAGTGTGCTCTTTGACAATCCTAGTGGGTATTAATGTGGTGTTAATTTGCACTTCTCTTACTATGAAGGAGATTGAGCATATTTTAATATATTAGAAACCTGTTTTAATCTTTTTTCTTTTGCTAAATTATCTGTTCAAGTCCTTTGCCCACATTTTTTCTACTGAGCAGTTGCACTTGTGAATTTGTTAGCACTCTTTATATGTTGGGAAAGTTAGCTCTTTATGGAGGAGTAAATATTTTCTCTAAATTAGTTTTTGTTTGTTTTTTTTTAAACTTATGATAGTTTTTCAATGAAGAAATTTAAATTTTTATGAAGGCAAACTTTTTTTTCATGAGTCCTGGACACTGGGGGTCAAATTTTAACGACCGTCTTCACTATGAAAGGATAAAGGTATTCTCCCATAGTATTCATTATTTTACTGGTTCTTTTTTTGGACATGTTAGATTCACTTTGATTTCATTTGAATTGAGCTCAGTGTATGGTGTAGGATATAGGTTGAACCTCATTTTTCTTTCCAACTGGCTGCAGAGTTTTCCCAAAACATGGATTGAACAGCTCACTTAGGAACCCCAACTGCCTACCTCTGCATGTTTTCAGCTTCTTCAATGGTCTCTGGCAAAGCCTTCCCTTTGGTCTCTGGAAGCAACAGCACCAGCCCTCCGGCAACCAAGCCAACCACCGCTGAAGCCAAACAGACACAAATCACATTCCGAAATGAAGCATGCTGACTCTAAAATTAGAACCCCCCTTATTTCTTAAAAAAAATTTTTTTTGGTGATCTCCTATACTTTCAGATTCCTTTGCCATCGCTGACTGCCTTATTCTCCATCATAAATATTTTGCCCATTCCCAAGTCCGATGGATTGCAATTCCTTATAGGGAAATGAAATACTTAACATTTTGAGTCACAGTTATTCTCGGCTAGAGGACATTACCACAATATTAAGATCCTTCGGAGTTAGAAAATAACTCTGAAAAAAACCTCAATGCTAAGAAAAGGAAGAATATAACCCTGCCAATATCAAGCACTTAGCAATGAAAATGGGCCTGAAACTTGGATCATAATCAGTTAAAAAAAGCAATGAATCACGTGTTACTGCACAACAGCATTAAATAGGTGAGCCAGGTTTTTAGTTCTGATTCAGGTGTTGGATAAATTCCTTTTTTCTGTGTCTCCAGCTGTGATTTTTTTGCATATGTCAGGGAGGAGGGTGTATAATAGTAAACATTAGGGTGTTTTTGTTTCTCTAAATTCCCATGAAAGTTTTGAGATTGTAAGGTTTTTCTTTCTCTAAATTCCCATTCAGTTTTGAGATTTATATGTTTTTCTATAAAAGGATACAGGAAGCAGGATGTGGGTTCTTCACTCTTTTTGGGGTTTTGAAAAATACATGCTGGACTCCATTTTTGCACCCTTAAAACTGGTAGAAATACAGGCCACGGCACACAGCGGTTCAGGGCACTGGCTAGAACTCTGGGCACCTGAGTCTGGTCCTGATACCCTGCATGCTGGTCTCAGAGCCCTGAGAAGTCCTGTGACCTCCCTGCTGCTCCAGACTCCCCTACAGAAAGCAGGGTGATGTCTCCGCCTCAAAGACTCGTCATGAGGCTGAAATGAATTCACATTTGTTAAGGGCTTAGAAAAGTGCCTGGTACTTGGGAGGAACTAAATAGCGAACCTCTCAAGAGCTTCCCACCCTCTAAAGACTCACGTGGTTGTAACTCATGCCAACAAGAAACATATTCAACTGGCTTTGATTCTCTGAAGCAAGTGTTTGGGAAAAAATATATTATCAAACTATAATCTGTTTAGTATTTTATATTTGCAACGATGGGCCTAATTAACTAGGATGTTTCTTGTTAATTTTTCCAGTACCCTTTCAATCAGGATTTTCCAACGTGTTGATTTGTTGATTTTCAGGCTACTAGAGGACTGTTTCTGGCTATTTCAAGAGCACAATTAGCACGTTATTACTGTGTGAAAAGAAAGGGAAAGAAGTTAAGGTGTAAAATTGTTAGTTTAGCCTCCTATTACCTACTCAGATTAAAGGCTGGGGAGAGAAGAAGATGCGACTGTCAGTAAATATACAATTGGGAATTGTCTTTGAGTTTACTTCAAACGTTGAAATGCAGGTAAAATTCTTTATCTTCTCAAGGGGACGTAAGACCCGAGAAAGGGACAGCACTGGTTCCTCTGGGTCTGGCCTGTGCATTTCTTTGTCAAATGGTACTTAGAGAAACACGGAGTATCTGTACTCTACCCAGAAATAGCCCGCTGAGCCATGAGTCACTCACTGCCCACCTAGGGGCGCGGCAGGGACTGAGGTGGAAGGGGGACGGCGCGTCCCAAGATGGAAAGGGGGCCCTGGGGTCAGGCCCCTCAGCCAGCGCTGGGCGAGGAAGGAAGGAATCTGGGGCCGTGCCAGCCACTGTGGCCAAAGCGTGATCATCTCAAGAGAAAGAGCTCGTGATCTATCAGCTCTGGCTTTCTTGTTGTTCTTAAGTTGGAATGTGGAGAAAGTCACTGGGTCTGTCTTGAGGGTGAGTTCTGTCAACGGTTTGGAACTTTGGCCGGCAGACCTACAGCAGTGGAAGGACGTCCCCCTCACAAATCCCTTGTGAAGAAGGAAAGAGCAGAGACACTTGTGTATGACAATGCACAGTACCAGGAGCACAGCCATCTGCTGTCCCCCTGGCAGGCATGCGTCTGAGAGAGGCTTTTCCTCCCCACCCTCCCCCAACGTAAAGCAAGTCTGGTATGCCCACGGGGAAAAGTATTACTTTTTTGTCAAATTAAAAGAAAGGCTCAGAATGAGTCCTAGAGAAGACTGAAATGGGTGCATCAAGGATCTGGGCGAATGTTGAGAAGGTGGCTGTTGTGTGTGTGAATCTGGAGATGTGTCCATGTGGATGCGGAGGAGAGGCTCTGTCCTCTGGTCTACCACGTGGGGAAAGGAATGGATGCTGGGAGACCGGAAGTGCCCAGGACTCCCAGTCCCCATCCACAGCCTGCAGACTTCGCGTCCAGCACGTGTTCATCATTAGATTTGTCCCCCATCTTCTATCCTGCAGCCTGGTCAGGGAGGGGCGGGCTCAGCATTGCCACGTCCTTGAGGGTCAGAGGGAGGCGCTGTGCTCCAGCTCCTCAAATCTAACTGCTGAGGACTCTGAGCATGGGGATGCCCCACGCCAGCCCGGCTGTTCCCGTTGTGCTAATGCACTTTCTTAATCTGGATCTTCATTTACCCTGGGTTTTGAAATTGCCCTTTGCAAAATTTTAACCACCTTTCTTTGAAGTGATGAAGTAAAAGAGTTTGAATGTTTCCTCGCAGAAGAGGCAGGAAGAGTTAAGTCTTGGACAAAGAGACCCTAGGAGGGCGGAAATCAGTGAGAAGAGAGGAGCTTCCTCAGGGGGAGCCTCATCTCCCTCTCCGTTGACTTTGCACCTCAATGGGCATGAGTCCTAGTGGGTTCCCATAACTGAGTACCACTGGCTGCTAACACTATTAGTAATACACTAGTAATAGGACCGATTACTGGTCATATTTACTAGTTACTTATAGGCATGAAGCCTACTTTGAGGTAGAAAAATGGAGCCCCTAGAAAAATAGGTTATCATTCAAAGGCATCTCTGAGGTTTTCTTACCAAAAACCACCAGCGGGAGCTCATGCCAGATGTCAGTGAGCCGGTACACCAGGAAAGGTGTGATGATGCCACCGATGTCACACATGGAGGAGCAGACGAGGACCCCAAGGTTCCTGAAATGCGGGAAACTAGTGTAACTTTTTACTTGTCACAGTACAGTGGTTACCTCCCACCCCGCCGTGAATAAATACTCCCCCAAATCATTAAAATGTGTGTGAATGGAGAGAAAACGTTCATGTTAATTCCATCCACGTTCTGTTGCACTTGTTTTATGTTAACTTTCTTGAAGACTTTTAATTGGGGGCATTTTCACTTTCTACTGCCATGGCCTGGCTCCCCTGCTCCGTTCTGTGTTTGGGTCGCTTCTGACCGCTCCCTCCCATGGCCAGTTGGTAAGCCCTCTCTGGCAATTCCATCTCTTCTGTTCTCATCACACAGCTTCTGTGTTTTATCCCAGCCTGCAAGTGTGAGGTGCGACTGGCTGCTGCCATGAAATGTTCTCATCCTCCCTTATCCTGTCTTTTGAAAAGGCAGGGGTCTTCTGCTGGCACCTGGGGTTGTTCTCATCAGTAAAGAAACATCCCAACTGCCCTCTTCACGCTGAGGAAAAGGTGCTCACCTGATGAACGTGGGGTACAGCTCGGCGTTGACCAGGCAAACCATCTCATAGGCCATTGTAATTCCCATCCGCCCCAAGCACGCGGCTGTAACTCTCAGCCATGGTAGATCTGAGAGGAGAAACACATCACTTACACATGCTGTGCACGCCCCCTGGTCTCGGAACGGGGCTCCAGAGAGGGCTTCGCAAGGAGAACGTGTGCCCTCCAGAAGGGAACAAGAATGCACAATCGGTTCCTCTAGAGACTCAAGAAAATTCAGCAGAGTTCCCCACGTCTGTTTTAACCTCAGACGCAGTTCTGACACTCTGCACTTTAGACCTCAGTCATGAATGACAGCAGAATTATCCCAGCTTCCAAAGTGGGGCCCACTTTAGTCTACAGAGGTCACCCAAAGAAATAGCAAAATACAGACATGTTAAAACTATTTGCTAATAATTGAAAGATTAAAAAAAGCCCCATGTTGGTAATAGGATTCTGTTATACAGGTTTTTGCTCCCCTTCATTGAGAAAGCATTTTAAGAGGAAAGAAAGGAACTGAAGAGTCATTCATTGACAGCATTTATCTCAGTTTTCTCCTTTATTCTGCAGGGAGGTCAAGGAAATGATGGAATAAGATTATCGTGCTGGGGCTGCCTGCCCCCAAGCCCGTGCTGTCTGCTCTGGGCCACCTTGGTGGGCTGCAGCCCGGGTCTGCCCAGGCTGTCTTGTTACGTTACATCAGAGAAGCAGCGGGCGTGAGTATATTACATCAGGCAACCACTGGGCGTGACTGTTCTTAAAGGCAGAGTGGCCGTATGGGTTGGCTCAGGAAGGCCCCAGATACTGCATCCGTTCTTTCCAAATCGACTTGGATGGTAAGTTACATGGTCCTCCTATCAGAGGGCCGTGACACCCCGGCTGCTCAGGGCCTTGGAAGACAGGATCCCATTCTTACCCTCAGGGATAAAAACCGAGGCTAGACAGGCTGCCCCTGCCACCATATTTGCTGCAGCCCACGGATACCGGCGACCTATGCGGTCAATGGTGAGGATGATGATGAAGGCGGCTGGGAACTCAACCAGGGCAGAGTAGAAGAAATCCAGGTAGATA